TTTGGTTTGCATTACGAACCTATAGTTCGTAAGCAATTTACAGTGTATCCACCTCTAGCTCCGATACAGTTAAACATACAGCGTAGTTCCCGACTCAGAATGTGCTGTTTTGGGGGGTAATACCTCTGACATTTTACGATTGGACGCCTCCTTGTACGGCTTTATGTGCATCCACTGTAAGAATAAATTTCGTGATTATACGAAATTTTTTAGGTTAATTTTCTAGTACGAAAACTTCGTTTGTAACCAATTACGATACATCGTTATTTTACGAATTGCTTCGTAAAATCCAAAGCTCTAACTAAGGAGTATGAAATTTGCATATATATTGTCAAATTTTATGACCACGATGTAGTTAATACGGTGTCGGCACTGAGCTATCCGAGGGGGCCACGGAATATATTCTTAACTTTACAAAATGTTTCGTAAATTGGCCCTAACGAAATATTTTCGTAAATTATTTTTTACGAAGCATTTTGTAAAATCACGAAAACTTTTTACAGTGCGTGGTCATCTTCGACGTATTATCGCCGAACAACCTACTCTAACGCCCGAACGGTGCAAGATAGAGCCAAACGGAAGAAATTTTAGTTCTGCGGGTTGTATTTTCATCAGTCACCCCTTAGGAGACCATCAAATATTTTCTAAAAAGAATGTATTCATTTTTGGACCACTTTTGTGAGTAAAACTCCCTCTAGCGCCCAAACGGTGCAAGATAGAGTCAAACGGACAAAGTTTTAGTCCAACGGGTTCTACTTTCACGAGTTACCCCTAAAAAGCATATTTTGTTCCTACTTTTTGGACCAACCACATATTTCTTTGTTACCCCCTTTCATCCACTTAGGGGTGGTTGCCAGGATTTGCACCAGGCGTTTCGTTGTCCAAGAGTGACTTGTAAGATACCCTGAAATTTGCCGACCTCTAGCTCATCTCCTTCCTCTTACACGGACGACGGACAGACGGACGGACGGACACGAGAGCGGTTGCATAAGCCCGCTTTAATGCTTTAATAAAAGTAGAAGGGCGGGCTAAAAACCACGTAAGCATTCATTTTTCATTCGCTACTCGATTTTGACTCGCGTTGCTCTCTGTGAAAATTGAGTTTTTTTGGGGCCACCCTAAAGAAGGGTGGGGTATAGTCACGGTGTTGACCCGTTGCAGTCTTTTCTCATGTCCATAGAGCCAATCTTTAGGGCCACAGACCCCTCCCCTCCCCCCGAAAGCCTCAGGCCCCAGTCGACTCAAATATGAAAGGTGCCTTATCGGTCGGACCGACCAAACGCCACGGCAGGCCAAGCTAGGCCAGGCCCGGCCACTGCCGAACGGAGTTGCCTGCGAAGCGAAATGAAGCTTGTTTAGGAGTGAGCCCTAAGATTCCCTGGAGTTTTGAAGTCTCTAGCACATCTCTTTCTAGTGAAAAAGACAGACACACAAGCAAACACGAGGTCGTTTGCATAAGCCCGCTTGATAGATTTTTCAGAAGGGCTGGCAAAAAACAGACGGAAGTGTCGACGAGGGTTTGAGATGAAACCTTAGGTGTTCTATTTTACATCCAGCAGGTGCAATAATTCGTCACCCTTCTCACCTTGTGCACGTGCACGCCAGAGGCGGCAGTCTTTTTGTTAGGAGTTCCGAGGTAGCCCATGGTTCTATAACAGTGTTTCTTCTCTTTCCTTAGGTTCCATTATCTTTTTGTTCTTTTATGCGCCTTTATTATCCCTACCGTCATACCAGTCGTTGCTTGGGACGAGACGTGGACAGTCTCTTCTCTGGCAAGCATTGTACGAGTTGTGGTGTTCATTAACATTACAATGACTGTTAATAGCTTTGCCCACATGTTTGGAGATAGACCTTACAATAAGTAAGTTTCACATGCTTTCTACAGGAAAGCTTAAATCTAACTTGAGCAGCTGATCAGACTCATTAATCCTTTTTTTAACTGCAGGCAAATCTGCCCAACAGAGCTCTGGATGGTATCATTTCTAGCTATGGGGGAGGGATGGCACAACTATCACCATACCTTCCCATGGGACTACAAAACATCTGAGCTGCCCTATTATTGTAATTTCACAACTTTTGCTCTCGATGGTTTTGCGAAAGTGGGATGGGCATACGACTTCAAGTCGGCCAGCAAAGAATTGGTTGACTCGGTGGCATCACAACATGGGGACGGGTCACGGTCAACAGCTATGGGGCGTCCAATAATGATTCATGAATTCGGACTTGCGACCTAAAACCGTACAGTTTGCTTTACCTCACCCTGTAAATCAATCGTTTATTCAATGACAACGTGTGACTTTTTAAAATAACATTTTGTAGGTTGGACCACCCTAATTAAATTTAAACTTAAAAAAATACAAAATAAGTGCACTGTAAAAAGTCGCGGGTAACTTTGTGTAAACTTTGTGTAAAATTTTGCGGAACTGCAATTGTAATTGTAAATGTATTTTGCATGTCTAAAGGGGTCATAAACCATTTTTTCGCATTCTTTCGTACATTTACCAAGCCATTGTTTAAAAATTTATTAAAAACTTAGCCAATTTCGGGATATTTGTTGTAGTATTACTATGGCGTGTTTGTGTATCCCATACTGCATCCAATACTTTGAATTCATAAAATCAGGTAAGAGTTGAAGTTCGTCCACTTTTCGTATCCCCGAGTAAACTTCCTTATTCTGCAACCTCATTAATTTAAGACAAAAATAATAACCCAAGCACTTTTTACATATATCTACAGTGAAAAACTTTCTAAAACGGTGAACTTTCAAAACTCTTAACAGTTAGCGGATGATAAGTTTTTCGTCTTCAAAGTAGCAAAATATTACCCAATGTAAATTCATAACAACCCTTTGAACCTAATTTCATATAACTCTACAAAAAAGTGTGTAAATCAGACACATTTACGTTTGTGCCACTTTAGACGTTACGAAAAGGATGCCTGACAATCCTGCGTGCACAACGAGGGGTAAAATTGTGTACATCGGATTGCTAAATTGTAAAGCTTACCGATGATTACCTAAGATTACTAACGTTCTCGAATCATTAACGAGGTTTACCAATGAAAACTCAGTATGATTCGCCTGCATTTTAAATCTAAACGGCAATGTTTTGTCAAGAAAGATTCCATTTTAGTGTGCATCTTAGATCTCAATTCTTAAACTTGCAAGTTACAAATTTACTGGAAAAAGTTTATTTTTGTTCTTCGAAGGGATGCAAACTCGCCATTTTCAACATGCGTGTTTGCATTAAGGCAAGATGTGTACAGAAATGAATGGCTTAATAAGCACATTTCCTTTGAAAAGGCCCTCACGACTGTGTAGATTACCAGGGGTTACCAGTGATTTCCGAGTATGTGTACGCCTGATTACTACAGTCGGGCAACCCTCGTAGCACAACTATAATGCAAATGAAGTTTGCACTAGTAACAACTTGTATTCGCAAAATTGCTTCAATGTCTAGCCGTAAACATATCCCAGAGGGAAAATCACTTGCGTTCTTACTCGTACACCCAGGCCCCAGGCCTGTACTGAAGACGTACTAACTCGTACTAACAGCGTAAGAACGCGTTCTAATGGTAAAAATCAAGCGAAATAGTGCCGTAATAACATTATTTTCAATAAAAGATGAAAAATTGCGCTTAAAATAGAGTGTACTAACGTGTACTTACAGAAACACGCTGATCTGGAGTGATTTCCCCCTCGAAACAGTCGTGCTAGGCGAGGAGTGTACGACTCGCCTAAACAGTGTACTTTTGAGTACAGATTATAGGATGATTGGAAGATTATATAGTGATTATAAGATTATAAAAATGATTACAGATTAGAGAAATGATTATAAGATTATAAAAATGATTACAGATTAGAGAAATGATTATAAGATTATAAAAACAGATTAACGATAGATTATTTAGATTATAATAAATTAAGAATGACTAAAAGATGTACTAAAAGAAGGGTTGCCTGCCAGGCAACCCAAGCGTTTCCACTGTAAGGGGGGCGAGCTGGAGAGGCAGGCAACCTCGACCCTGTCCCCTGGTCTGCCCCTCCCCCCCTTCTTTTCCCTCTATGCCGAGCACAGCTGAAGTCTTCTGTTGGTAGCGGGTGGGACGGGTATGAAGAAAATTGAACTTCAATTTCAAAAGGTGAGATGAAATACCGACAAGCGTCAGGTTTAGCGGCTAACAAGATTGTTATCAACTTCTTAAACTGTGCCTTGCTCCATTACATGCCTTTCTTAAACGTGTTATGCAATTCACTGTTAAAAATGTTATTAAAATTCATAACATTTTTGTTATTAATTTTAATAACATGCGTGATTTCATAACTGGTGTTGTGAAAAGTAACAATCATGTTATG